CCATTCCTATTAGGTTGGAGGCCATTCCTATTAGGTTGGAGGCCATTACAGGTTCAGTTGTTCATGTTGATGTGCTTTTTCTAAAAGACATCAGGTGCTTCCTGCGAGTCCTCGAGGAACTTTGAATAGCTTCGACGCCTTTGAGCAAGACGGGGCCTTGGACACATTTGGTTTCACTAGCGGATTTCACAAGGTTCTTAATCATGAATCATTATACAACATATATATATAACCTTCGGGTGACTGGATCTAGAAACCATACATGGGAATTCACACATTCCCAAGTCATGCGCCTATCCCCTCGATTTATCCGGAGTGGATAAATCCCATGTCATCAGGCAACAAGAACCAAAGACGAAGTAATGCGAAGCATCACCAGATTGCCCACGCAACCCAGTACAAGGCTGCTCTTTAGACGGTGCCACAAAGTCCTATCTCATCCTGCTCCACCTATAGTCACCTAACGCTTAGGTGCCAACCACTATATTCCTTATGTCACTGGACGCCTGAGCTCCTATGTGATTTATATATTCCCAGTATAACCTTCTTTTGAGCCCGTGGCCGGGCGACTAGTTCGCTACTAGGAGACCATCGCTCCTAGCAACAGGACGCAGGATAGCTCATGCACTAATGATTTGTTTCCGAGATTTTTAGGGAAACATAACTATCAACAAGTTTTGTGTTTGTTTTTCATTCGCTTCTTTAGATGCTTTTATTTTTGGACCTTTGAACTTTGAACCTTTCTTTTGTCATTCCTTTCTTGTTCTTTCCGCGTCCGATCACGAGCTGTGGCGCTTCGCACATGCCAAATACCTCAGGCCATCCACGACATGGCCCTCCACGAGGAGGTAGGGCACATGTTGACTTGTTCTTTGTGCACTCCAAACACATATGCATGGGCCAGGTCCTGATTAGTGCTTGAACTCAACTACTTCTCTTTAATCCTTTATGAGAAGGCTTATTGGAACGATTTGGAACGCTTTCTTTGCAGAAGGCTTGGTTGGAGGCCATCGCTACTAGGGTGGAGGCGATTACTACTAGCAACAAGAAACTACTAGTAACAAAGCTCCCCTCAATCAGAGCTCCTTGTAAGCTGCAAGTCTTGTTGGGCCAGGATGCGAAGTACTCACGCGAGCAGCGGATGCGCACAGCGGCCAGCAGAGACACTGAGAAAGCCAGTTTTCAGATCACTCAACAACACGAAGCTATTCAGACATGAAGCGTTCTTCAGAGGGTTTGAACAAATTCATTGACAAAAAGAATCGTTGAAATTGAAAGGTGACGAACATGAAATCAATCAAGGGGCTCCTGGCCTTACTACTAGGAACAAGGACGCTACTAGGAGCAGTCTTCTGGTGGATTCTTGAGGCTACGCGTGCAACAAGAGCCATTCGGCCACGTCACATCCACAGTTTCTGTGAGCTCTGAAGGGTGTGCCATGGTGACCGCCTACCTTTTTGCTTAGACAGATTAGAAAAGCTCTTTTGACAATTGTGTTCATATGGTGTTTGTTCAACGAAGTGAACAACCTGTTGAACACAGCGAAACAAAACCATTTTTCTTACAAAACCATATGTTCTGCACAAAAGAATGTGCTTTTTGAAAACGAAGCAGCCACGGCTGCTACAGCGCCCAAGGTGTCGAAACTTTGCCTCGCTGCATCGCGAGCTGAACGAACTCCGGGACAAGCTTGAGGCGAAACACGTGGCGAAACGTGTTGAGGAAAGAAAAGAACTTGAACAAGAGAAACGCATTGAAGTTGAAACATGTTGAAGCGTCGGGTAAACAACTCTTTCTTGGGTAATGAAAGAACAGTGAAGTTTTCTGTGCAACACAGTGTTCAGTGGGGAGGAACAAGGACGCTACTAGGGGCTCCTGGCATCGCTACCAGGTGGAGCCTGAGAAGACTCGAGAAGCACTGCAATCGCTGGTTCCCCAGATTTCAGCCTGGCGACACCCTTCGCGAAGTGTCACAGCTTAAGACTGATGAAGGGAGCACTGGGTTGGTACGCCTTGTTGAGGCTTCGCAAGGAACTTAACAGTGGGAACGATCATTTGCTTTGATGGGTCCTCTGTGTTTGTTTTCAAAGCAACCATGGGATGTCCAGGACATCCGCTTGGAAGTACTACGCGAAGCACCTTGAACAGGTAGGGAACGTTGAAATCGTTACGTAAATCAGACATCGCCAATTTTATTCAACATATACATACTGTATATATATATATACATACACATATACAGTATACATCAGTTCTGTACGAATGCATTGCGAATGACCATGAGTGAGCAAGATCTAAAGCTGGGACGGCGGCCAGTCGTGGCCGCTTTAGCTACAGGCTCGGCAACTGGAGTCGGATCTCAGGCAGAGTTCCGGTCATGTAATCTCCTTTTTAAAAAGACGTGGATGCAGCACAAACACAGATTGAACACCATTCAAAGTCCAAGTTCATCCTTTTACATGTCACTGCTTTCTCCATTGTTGGGTGGTTTGAGATGAGGCGCCAAAGGCAGCATCTCGCGCCTTTGGCATGGAGCTTAGAACATATTAGCACATTGTTTTTGTCGTATCTTACAACAGAAGCCACTTCGTCCGATGTTTGTAGAGTGCTGGGTTCCTCCAACTCACAAACCTCTGACAACCTCTGTGACACTTGAAAGTGAATGCCATTGAGGTTCTTGCTCTATCTGAGGGGCACAGCTAGAGCAGCTAGAGTGCTTGAAAATCTTGAAAGTGCCGAATGGAGATGTCAAGCTCCAAAGGAAATCAAGTTGGACACTAGAAACAAGAACCGTCCATCATTTTTCTAAAGCACAATGTTTCTCGGCTCGGGAATTTCTGTTTGTTGGAAGCTTTTGGCTTTAAAAGGCTTCCAATTTCCGAGGCTTTTAGAGCTGTTGTGGTGTGACTCTGAAGGAGTTCAACACTGGAGATTACATGTTCTGCCGACCGTCCCAAAAGAGCTGCCGGATCTGAGCAATGGCCTCCAACCTAAGGAACCGAATGGCGATGGCCTCCAACATCCTCCAACCTATATACTAGCACCCAGCACTTTTCGAATGCCTGGTGCAGGGCAGTGCTGCCGTGGGTGTTCCAACAGGCTCAGTTTGCTTTTCGTGGAAGTCATGCTAGAGAGATTGTATAGATCGCATGATTTCGCCTTTGAAACCGCAGTTGGCCATGCAACCAGAACTGTGGCTTCAGAATTGAGTGGACACCAATTCAATGGATGAAGCTGCTGGATGACACGCTGCTGCTGGTGTAGGTCGACAAGAGTGGTCGAATTGGTGAGCTTCGCTTGCTGAAGCTGCTGGTGGAGTCGGCCATGCATCGGTGGATGTCGGTTTCACCCGGAAGACGGTCGGAAAGACACACGGAACGGCATGACATGTGTTTCACACGGTCGCTAGCATGGCAAGCATTTTTGTAGGAACGACATGGCAAACATCGCTATTAGGTTGGAGGCCATGGCTACTAGGTTCTGCAGGGAATGTTTACATCTTGTCATGTCCGATGTCCTGTTCTTTGGCTCTGTGGCACACTGAAGGTATAGCAACATGCGGATGCTTGGGGCGGGGCAGTTTGGCACCGTGCCCTGGCCAAAACATGCCACAGCTCTGCATCTCTCAAAATAGAACTTCCCTGAGGTCATGCAGAGCAGTGTCACAGTGGGCTCAGGACAGTTGCAGGCTGACAGAGCGTGTAACTCTGCGCAGTAGGCTGACGGCAAGAGAGATTCAATGCATGAGGTGGCAATCAAGCACATCCCGAAACAAGCCAACATCCAGGAGAGCACTCCGCAGAGTCTGTCAAGTCAGGTGAGTTTTGCCAGTCTGTCAAGTCAGGTGAGTGTCCCTAAACATCTAGGAGCCAAATGACTAGGGCAAGCAGTGCAAGCGTGAGCTATCCTGCATCCATGCTTACTAGCTACCTTTCCCTTAGTTAAGTAGGCGCCTACTCAATTAAGTAGGGGTGGCTTAAAAAAAGGTGATGGCCCCTGTCAGAAAGTCATTCCGTCCGAGTCGTGTGAGAGCTGAAGAAGCTGAGAACTCCAGGATCGATGTGTTTTGGTTGATGTCTTCACAGAGATCAGCTGTTTGGACACAATCCGCTTCGAGGACGAACACGAACCAGCTTAGCCTACTACCTAATCGCTTCCTTGCTCCTAGTAGCGAGGCCAGGAGCCCCTAGTAGCGTCCTTGCTCCTAGTAGTAAGGCCAGGAGCCCCTAGTAGCTTCTAGCTACTAGTAGCTTTTTGTAATGCACCGATTTGCTTTGTTTTGGAAGTGGCTGGATCGGTTGGATTCAGCCACCTGACATGATGACATGCTACGAAAGGAGAACGTTTGTCACATCTACGACTTTGGAGTTGAAGAGTCTTGCTATTGGATTGTCATGAAGTGCCACTGTGGTCAAATGGTCCAGTTTGTTCTTTTTTCAAAGCTGCTCCTACTTAATTAAGTTGGCGAAAACTTAATTAAGCAAGGGAGTCGTTCGCCACTAGCAATAGGAAACTACTACACATGGATGCAGGATAGCTCACGCTTCTTCAAGGAAGCTCCCCCCGCCTGAAACCGGGGTTAGCTTCCTTGAAGAAGCGCTTGCACTAATGATTTGGTTCCTAGATTTTTTCAAAATGTTTCAACTAGCTTCTGAAAGCAGAATTCATTCTTCCCCCTGCTCTTGTTATGCAGGATGCTTTGGCTTGCATTAGAGTCAAAAATGGTCAGGTACTATGCAAGCACTTTGAAGAAATGGCGAGCCTCTCTCGGGTGGGAATCTTTGACACGCCAATGCGCAGGAAAGGACCTATTTCCTGCACAATTTTGCTTGCATGTTCAGGCCGATGAAGGAACAACTTCCAGTGTTGTTGGCAGTCTTCAAACAAATCCTGCAGGCTGGGATATCAATGAATAGTTCTTCAGTCTGCCCACGTTCATCCTGTACAACATGCAAAACAGAAGTTTTCATGCATGTGACGTGACTTGTACGCTTCAAACTTCAAACACTCGTCTCTCGAGTTAAATGGAGACAGACAGGGCCTGGCAGTGCTGCACGAGAACGACATCATCCACTATGACTTGAAGTGTGACAATGTCATGATCGAGCTAAACCAGAAGCACCTTGCTCCGATTAGTATCACAGTAGGCAGCTTGATGTTGTGTATTGTGTTCATGTGCTTCGTTCTGCTGCACTTCTGGGAGAGCCAGCCACAATACTAGTAGCACTTTAGTCCAATTGCAGCTGCTGCATCAGTCAAAGCTGATGAATATATGAAAATATATGAACATCATGTTGTGTCGCACGGAAGACTTGTGATGATGAACGCCTTTGCCAAAGGCAATCTTTGGCTTCCACGGGAGAAGCTTGGCAGAATCAGTCCTTGAGTGTCGACTTGTCCAATCAAGCGGAATATCACGGATGAATTTCGAAGCATCCGCCGATTGTTTGCTGAAGAGCAGGTCGTCACAGAAAGAAACACATGCACTGGCAAAGATGTCCCGTACAAGACAGCTAAACACGCAGCTAACTGACATGGTGTTTACAC